AGTCCCTCTAGTAACCGCTGGAGTTCTCAAACTCGCAGCAGCCCCCCAGCCACCCGCTACTGCCTTAGGGAAGTCTAAGGGAAACTCAGCATCGTCTCTGTTACGACGGGTGTCGTGGAAGTCCTAGTTTCTCCAAACACAAATTTGGATAGAAATACAAAGAAGTAGGAAGGAGAGAGATCCACTGAGGGAAGAAGAAACCTGGTGGAAAGCGTGGCAGCCGCTCTCTCCAAGGATCCGCGTCTCAGCTGGAACGGTTGGCTGGGCATCCAGCTGAGCACGACAGCGAGAGCTCTCTGCTGAGCGTAAAAGAGGGCAGCCAGCCACCCGCAATCAGTGTCTTCCAGGGAGAAAGGAGCGCGCCCGGGGGCAGGCGGGTAGGCAGACTGGCTGCCCCGCAGCCGCTCAGGGCGCAGCACCATCTGGCCACCTTGACCAGTCGCTCCCTCCAGCTCGCGGGCCTAGGTCTCCTAACAAGTGTTTCGAGGACATATGAAGGCAGGGCCAGGATGCGCGCGACCTCTCTTCGCAGCTTCGGAGTTGAGAGTACATGTGCGGCACATGGTGAACGGGCCCTTTCCCAGCCCTTCTTGTGGTGCGGATGCGCTCGTACGGACGCCCTGAGCCTCTGCCCCTCCTCCCCTTTATGCGCCCCACACTTTAAAAAAGGTTTCCCAAGTGTGGTATAGAGACACGATCCGACAGACCCAAGGCTGACTACTGATCTGTGGGTGCAAGGGAAGCCAGCGGCGCGCACAGCCGCAGGTGCCCGCGCCCTAACGCACCGGACTGGCCCTGCACTGACTGGAACCTGTTGAGACCTCCAGCCCTGGGGGACAAGAAACAGCTGGGGAAGAAGCCAGGAGGCAGTTGGGGAGGGCAGGAAACCAAGGAAACAGAGAGTTAACCCGGGCGATTTCGTCTTAATTGCTGCCGGGATCCCTCGGCAAAGTCCTGGTGCAACCTGCAAAGTCAAACTCTAAGTCTCCAAAACGCAGTGAGCTGCTGCGTGTCTACATCCGTGCCGGGCGGACCCGTAAACACGCACACGTCCTCTGCAGGAATCCTGGTGCCTCAAAATGAGACCACGCTGGGAGGGGGAGCCCCGTGAGAAGCCTGGTGGGGCGGGGAGTAAGCGGCCAGAGGATCGCTCTCCGGAGGTCTCCCACCACTGCCCGTTGTCCCTAAACTCACCTCCCGGCTAGAAACCAGAGGTGCGCCTGTCTTCCTCGCGCCGGGCGTCGGGTGGGGCCCTGCCTCCCTGCTCACAGACTGCTCTAAGAGCAGCCCTCCGACGGAAGCCGGACTTTCCCTAAGGAAATGTAAAGTTAAAGTCGGAGCACGAACCTTGCGAGTTCCAGCGATCGTTTTCTGTCGTGCTCAGAAAACATACTGAGGAAAAAATGGCTTTAAATGACAGCCTCGCCATCCTAAAATGATTGTGTGCACTCTCCAATTTGGGGTTCCTAGTAAAACTAAAAAGTAAAAATGAAAAGCGGATTTTTCTGTGTTTATTTTATTATTAAACATATAAAATTAAAAATTGAAAAAAGATGATGACGCTGTTGGGAATTCACATTTTGCTTCACCAGTGAAGTTAGCCAATATCCCCTGAAACCCCCAAAATGCAGCTCTGCAAAAAGCGAGCTCTCAGTTTCTAGTTTTGTCTTGCAAGGATCTAAGCAGAACCTTTTCCGAAGACTGTTGCAACCGTGTGCCCTCTTTTTACTAGAGGCCGAGACCCACGGGAAGGAGCAGTTGACTGGGGCTAGGACTCAACCCCTTCCTTCCTCCGTGGGACCCAAAAATTGAGTCAAGTCCTGCTTGCCGGGTGCCCAGGAAAGTTGGACTGCTGAGAAATTCCTGCGTGCGCCTAAGAAGGGACAGCTCCGGTTTCCGAATAGCGGACACAGAGGGTGGGGGCAAGGGGAGCCATACAATCCCTTTTGGAGGAGGATGTCTTAGAGATACTCCCAGACCTTTGTTCAACCGTCAAAATAATACCAAAAAAAAGTTTGTAAATCCGTGGGACCAGATACCTTCCTTTCTCCTCCCGCTTTGATAGAAACTGTTTCCATTTTTGAGGTGGGTGCGGGCACCCAAGGCCTCGAGAAGGGCGCCTCTCTCACCGAGAGTGGCGAGGCTGGCCCGGAAGACCCCCAGCCCTTACTCTCCGCCGCCACCTCCGCGCTGCCGCTCCGCGGATGAAAAAGGAAACGGACGCGTGAGCAGAGCTAGGCAGGGAGCTGGGGGTGCAGGGATGCGCAACACGCGCGGCGACGCCCAAAATGCGCGTGTGTTGCCGCCCTTGTACGGGGGACGGGCAGGACGGAAATGTATCCTGTACCGGAAAACTCTGTGCCCAACACACTACGATGAAATAAAACTTTTCCCTCACGGACCAGTTTGTATCTCGGAAGTATTCGCTGCCGACGCCTAGGTTTAAAATTTAATCAGATCATTGGACACTCGTGTTGACGCACCGCCACAGACGAAACCAAGATGTTCTCAAGGCAAAGTGAAGTTGCACCTTCAAGTGACATTTTCACGTTGGCAAAACTTTCTCCTTCGGAGAGAGAACCATTGTCCGATTAAGACTTACGATTAATGTTTTTAGTGGAGGAGCCACCCAAACTCTAGGGATAGAGGTGAGCACCAAAAAGAAGAAATACACAAGAGGTCGTTGGGTGGCCGCTGTCACTAAGGAATACTATCAAGCGACCTGGGCCAGGTGTAGCTCTCCTGTTTGAATGAGGACCAGGAATTCAAACTCCCTTGTTCTCTGTCTCTCTCTGTCTCTGTCTCTCTCGCCCTCTCCCACCCGCTCCCCAAAAGCGGAAGGTGGGAGCGAAAGCAGCCTGAGCACCTACAGAGACTGCGGCCGCGGCGGTCGCCTGGACTGCGGAGAAGAGGGACCCACCGCGCAGCAGGAGGTAGTGCTGGCTCACCTGTGCTTTAAGTTAAAGGCATTTCTTCATCAAGTCAGGAGACGTTCTCAACAACACTTTAAGTGGGTCTAGACACCGTGAGGACTTAACATTAGACCTTCTCTCTGAGCTGAGAAGTGCGTGGTCATATCTGCAGAACAATGATTATGTATTTTTCATTGCTGGAACTACACACAATACCCGAAATTCTTGAAAGGACAGTGAAGAGAGGAAAGTGATATGAAGCCCCCATTATAAAGTTTGAATATCTTTCTGAAGAAGTTCCTTGCAATGTCTGGTGTTTACAATGCAACGTGTCTGTTGCTTTTCCTAGTAGGCTTTACTCTAGAAAGACTAGGACAGGAAAAGGGCTCAGCTGCGTGGATCTCGCAAGATGCAGAAGCGATGTGTCCGAGGCTTTCCCCGTACAACCCAGTGCGTAGCCGGGTCTTGGAAATCGACTCGGTAGCTGTGAAGCAGAAAAAGCACTAGCTACTTTGCGACTTAGGAATTACAACTGAATGTGTGCGGAGCCGGTGCAATCTGCACGCGGGGGTGGGAGAGTCATCCCTCCCTCCTTTCACCCCAAATTCTCGGGAGGCGCACTACCTGACACCCCCTTGGCCTCAGGTGATGCGCAGCCGCTTCCTTAAGGGAGAACTGGCAACAGGGTTCGTTTCTGGGTTCAGCTCTCGGGGATTCTGAGGCGAAATGTAATTGTCTCGGGGCTGCAGACACCTGGGAGATGTGCGTTGACGGCTCTGCAGACTTCCAGCATGTCTGAAGAGCTTTCTTTTTCTCTGTGCTTATTAGTGTGCTGCTTTGGTTGGGCTTACGTTGTGAAAATAAAAGGAATGGCAAGCCCCATCTTTTCAAGAAAGCCAGGCAATTGGACATTTCGCTTATTATTTAATCTCTTCCGTGGCCACCTACTTTTGCCCCCTCGGAGTTACCTGCAGAGAAATGCATCTCGTAAAAATAACCTTAAATTACCTGAGACCTGCCTTGTCTCCTTTTCCCGACCCACAGAAGTTTTTTTTTTCAAGAGGAGGGGAAAGGCAAAGTAAAAATAACAACCTGAGAATTCTCGGGGCAATTTATTGTTCTAACCCTGCATTAAAAAAAATAATAACACTATGTAAATTTCAGTGACCCAGAAGCCATCACTAAATTCACCAGGGTCAGGGAACACTGTACCCACCCTGCACTATGAATGCACAGCTGGACTGAGGCAAAACTGGAAGGACCTCGACCGCCTAAGGACCTGGTCTCTAAGCAGAAACACAGACAGAAAACAGCGTCTACAGTGTTAGTTACTTTCTTTGCTAAAGTTGGTGCTGGGTGGAATCCTATAAGCTGTGGTATAACGTATTTATACCGGACCCAGGACCTGACAAATGGATATTTTATTTATCTGAGAAAATGTTAAGACAGAAATATTATTCCAAAACTGCAAATTGAACTTCTTTACTATCCACTGAAGGAGGAAAACAAAAAGTTTTAAGAAAAGCCTCTACTGAGTTCTCCTCTATGCCAAACACCACTAACCAAAGGTCCCAAATGCTTGGCCCTTCCTCCAAGACCCTATACAACAGTAGTAATTAGAAGAATTGAAAAGAAAACAGAGGTCACAAACAACACACTTCAAATCTGTATTGACTTCCTGAGTCTTCAAAAGATACTTCCTAAACATCATGGAAGACAAAAACTTGACAGAAGTTCTAGCCTTACAAAAGTTCAAAAGCTGTTTGGTCTCCTGAATTTCTCTTGATAGCTGCACTTACAAAGTTAACAGAGAGATGAGATATTCTTATTGATTCTGATAAATGTAGGTTGCCACACTGCAAAATTGTGGTTAAGGAAAAATAATGTACTGAATTCTTTGGATAATTAGTTCAATTCCCCAGTTGCTTTTGTCAGAATAGATCTAGGCTGTAGATCTGAAACTCAAATGTTGAATAAGTGACCCATCCCAAGTCAATCTCCAGTTCTGTCTATTGTATATGCCTGGCTAGTCATCTTTTTTTCCTGACCCAGAAAGAAGACAAAATTCTGTTCATTTACATAGTTTATTGTTGTAAACATTAAAATTGTCTTTCTCAAATAAAGAATTTATCAGAAAAAAAAATCAGCGTCTCTAACTGTCATACACCATAGAAAAAAAGGCAGTGACTCATATCATGTGCCATACTGGAAATATACAAAGAAAAATACTACAGAATATGGCAATATTAAAATTCTTACTCAAACAAAATAATATATTAACTGACAATTTTAGACATTAAAAAAAAACAAAAAAATTCAAAGTGCTCAGTAATTTCCAGGGAGTTATGTATATTATAAGCACTCTGGAAACAGTCAAAGCTGCTGCATGCAAGTTTTGTTTAGCTTTAGACAACAAAATAATCAAGATATAAACTTTCTTTTATCAACATCAACGGTACATACAACACTTACAAACAAGGAATGTTGGACGGTGTTACAAACACTATGTGTCCTTTTTGTCAGGATTTTCTGATGTGTAATACTTGTGCCCACCTATTTTACAATTGAGAAAATGTTTAAGCTCAGATAACTACCAATCTTTATAAAATCTAACAGACTACATAGTGTCTGAAATACTATTTATATAATATAGACATTACTGAAGTAGCAAGTGCCTATAACATTTTCGACCTAGGATCAAACATGCTTTTCCCTTTTTTGTGTAGTTATTTATTTTTTTTTTTGCAAACACACTTATCTTTTAGAATTTTTTTACATTTATTCATAAATAGGCACAAAATAATTTAAAAAGCCAAACTGCATTGGGTAAATTTACAAGCCTTTGCCTTCTTCAACTCATGCCACCCACGGAACATTTAATTTTACCATATATTACAGCTTTCTTTACAGCAGAAAACTTTGAAGTCTTTAAGGGCAATACATGTGGGTCCCCTTATGGTGTGTGTGTGTATGCGTGTGTGTGTTACATTTGTCTCAACTGCAACAACCAAACATGGTCAAACATTTCCCATCATACATTAGGAATTTTTTCCTGAACAATAAACTGAGTTTTAAACTAATAATAAAAAGTTTATACCAGTGTATTGGGTGCAGTCCGTGTTCTAAATCCAGGATGCCCCGGAGCCAAAATGCCCTTTCTGGTTCTGCCTGCAGGTTAGGAAATAGCAACAGTTTTTGTTGTTTTTCTGTTTGTTTGCTTATTTGTTTGTTTAGGGATCAAGGGGTTAGGGGTTTTATGGAGGGGGTGGGAGCCAGCTAGAGCTGCAGCAGCTCAGGAGGAAATCTCTGCCCTTTGTGACTTGCCCCTCTGACAGGTTTAAGTTTCTTTCCAGTTCCTTTGACGTGCATGGGAGAAGGTCTTAGAAAGGTAAAGTGTCCAGGAAAAGTTTGTCTATTATTGCTGGTGGTGGTACCAAGTCTTCCAGTTTCAGGTAGAAAATGCGCTGTAGCCCCTGTGTGCAAAGGGTACGGAGTTCTGGGAGCTTCCCCAACAGTTTGGACAAATAGTTGGGGCGGTTCAACCCCCCATTATTGAAAGTCACGTGGTCTTTGAGACAATTTACAATCTTGTTTTGCAGTTCTTCTACTCTCTTGGGTTCCTTGAGCCCATGTCTCTCTGCAAAAAACAATCAGAAACAAAAGAGGAACACACAAGACAGTTAGCTAGCTGGCAGGACCAGGGAGGATCGGTAGCAAGGAAAAACCGGGACAAGTTCTACTGGGCAGTTGTGGAGAAGCACCCTGAGCCTGTGGTACTAACCTGTGACCATAGCCAGGGCAGCAATGCAGGAGAAGGCAGAAATGTCGATGTTCATATTCTGCAAGTTGGAGGAGAATTCAACAATGGAATCAATCCATTCCCCAAAGCCACGAACGCATTGCAACCTGTGCAAGACCACCCCATTGCAAAAGATGAGTTTACCCTCCACTGGGTTGGACCTGCAATTAATACCAAAGAGAGAGAGGGGAGAAAAAAGAGAGAGAGAAAAGCTAAACAACTAATTACTTGAAGAGCAATAAATGAGGGATTTAAGAGGCACCTAATTACCGAAGAGTTAATAAAATGTAGACCAGTAGACCTTGAAAAGGTTTAATTTCATAACAATCAAGAACGCCCCCTATCCCACCTCCATTCCATTCATCCAAGGCTCCCGGGCTCCTTCCTTTTGCTTCCTTTTGTCTACTACCCTTTACTTCCTTTCCCCACACCTTTCATTTCCTATCTGTTCTTTTCTCTCCCCGCCCCCAACCCATTTTTCCTTCTTTCTTTTCCTTTCTCCATTCCTCTTCCTGTTTTTCCAGCCTTCCTGAATTGCCTCCCCCATTACCTGTATGCTAATCGCAGCACAAACAGTTCTAAGAAAGCCGATTCAAAAAGCAGGTCCTGGTCAGCTTTGGGCAGGTCAGCAAAGCCCGGGATCTTCTCAGCCCAGCCCCTGATGATCTCCATGGAGCCCGTCAGGAGATCATAGAATTGCTGGATATGCTGGGTGTCATCTCCACTCATCTGATAGTCAGGGTTCGCCTGGAACTGGAATTTCATTTTAAAAAGCACTTAATGAGGTTCTCTAAAATATATAACCCGTGAAATTGCTAACCCCGCTTCTAGTAGGGGAGCCAGGTTTTTATAACAATTAAACCTCGCTCTGACCAGTAAGGAAATTAGATGTTCCGGGGCAATTAATTCAATTAGGGATGGTGCTATGAGGTCGCTGCTTTAAATATGTAAATTACCATTTCCATACAGACTAAATACAGTGCCATCCAGCCCTGGGAAACGTTCACTCTTATCTTCACAAAACAATTGACACGTTAGTATTCATGCCAGTCCCAGAGTGGGTCCCAAGCAGAGCCGCCCTTTGCAAATCTTAATAACATTGCAGTGACTTCTAGGTTTGCCCGACAAACCTCCTCCAATTAAAGCCCACAGATTTCTCACAGCTGGGGTAAAAGAGGAATCTGACCACTTGAACCCCACCCTATTCTATATACCCTCACTCTTCCCTCTCCCTGACCCCAGAGCAGGCAGGCCCCACCCTGACAGTGCCAGAGAGGAAGAGGGCTAAAGCATCTGAATGAAAGGGTAGGGACAGAATCCAAGTGGGGGCACTCGGCACAGTCTCTGGTTTTGGCATCAGAGGGGTCAGTGTGTGAGTATGGGGAGCTGGCAGAGGTGTGACTGTATGGCCTATCCTCTCTTTGTCCCTCTGTCCCGTCCTCACGGCTGCACCCCCAGCATTTATCTATCAGTCTGTCTCCTGTGTTTCTGGCCAAAGCTATGAGGCCACAGCAGGGCTTGCCTCCTTTATCCTTGAATCTGGGGGCTAGTGATAGGTGTGGGAAGGGGGTCCTGCCCAACTGCCGGTTTGTCCATAGGATACCCCCCCGCCAGCTTCTTACCCTGGAATAGTCCAGGCTGGTCATAGCCGGGTTGGAGTCGACATGGGCCCTGACGAGGGCACTGATCAGACTCACCGGGGGCGAAGGGGGAGAGGGCTCCTGGGGGCTCTTCGGTTTCGAGGGTAAACGACCTCTCCGTCCTTTTAAACTGTCCGTGCGAACCACTGCGAAGGAACAGCCAGGTTAGCGCCGCTCCCCCTAGCGGGACCCAGCTGCCGCCTCTGCCCCTCCTCGGGGAAGGCCGCAGCCGCCGGACGCCGGGCCGGGGCGGCTCAGGGCCCCACTGCTTGTAAAGCTTTTACTAACGAGAAGCATTAAAAAATAAAATAAAAAATGCGGGGTGGTTTTACGTCTTCTTCCAAATGGGTCGTATAGTTAAAGGCGAGAAGGGCCTAGCGGCATTCTCTAAGGCAAGATGGGCAAGCAGGCAGCTGCCGGGTCGTGGAGGACAGATGCGGGTTGGGGGATCCGGGAGACCCCCAGGTCTGGGAAGTGGAAAGTGGGGTTGGGGTAGAAACAGCGATTTCCCGGGAGTGCAGACTGAGGAGTGGGCTGCTTGCTCCGACCTACCTTCTTTGACCATCCCAACAGCCAGGCACTTCTGAAACCGGCAGTACTGACAGCGATTCCGGCGCCGCTTGTCCACTGGGCAGTTTTTATTAGCTAAACATACGTATTTCGCGTTTTTTTGCACCGTGCGCTGCAAAAAGAGACAATATAGCCGAATTTTTTTCTCTTGAAAATCCAGCAACCCAAGGAATCCAGAGATAATTTCCGAACAGCTGGAATCTACACTCCCTCCCACAAACAAACACACACAACTCCTTTTTAATTTTTCCCCCTTTTCCTTTCCTTTCTCTTTCTTTTCTTTTTCCTCCCCCAGGGCATTTAACAGGAGAAAATTGATAGCGTTAACATTTGAGCTAACCTTGCCGCTCCTTGCTGTGTTTTATATGCCAAGAGAAGTAGAAGGAGACGCTCAGTAAATACAAATCCGTGGGCATTCATATTATTTACATTCCTTGGAGACCTTCTCTATTTAAAATGATAAGATTATTCAATCAGGATGGCGAAATAAAGAGATCACTTAATTTGACCATAGGGAATTCTGTTCCACTTGGTTAGCTCAGACACGGTTCTCTGTCCTAACCAATTTCAATCTGAACAGAGAAGACAGCTCCTAGCACATGCAAATGACCCTCTTCCAACTCTGGCTCCAGTAACTTCGGGCGGGGGGCCGGCCGGGTCGGCTGCATCCGAGGGATACGACCCCGAGTCTCCGGGTCTTTCTATTTCCCTTCCTCAGGCATCCAAAGGCCCCAACCCCACCCCCACCCCGCATCCGGTGGACTGCGGCAGGATGCCTCCGCGGACCCCGGGAGTTGGACCGTCCCGACAAGCTGGGGCTGGGCTGCCTGCACCAGGGTGGAGCCCGTGCTCGGAGGCTCTGGGCACTAGGGGGCCCATACCTGATTCCTCCAACCCCGGTCCTTGCTCACCTTAAAGAAACCTTTGCAGCCCTCACAAGTGCGCACGCCATAGTGCTGGCATGCCGCGTTGTCGCCGCACACCGCACACAGCCCCTCGTTGGAGGGGGAGCCCCGTGACGGCGGCGAGGGCACCTGCGTGTCGAGCAGCTGCGACGCGTGGCCGATCTGCAGGCCTGGGAAGCCCATGGACGCGGGCTTTCGTATGGGGTTGGGGACAGCGAAGGTCTGCCCGTCCACTACGTGGTGGCTGCCCGCTGACTCTGGGTTCATGGGGACGTGCAGGGGTCCGTCAAACCGCATCTGGCAGCTAGACACGGGAGTGCCGGGGGGCGATTGCTTAAAGGAGAAGAGGGAGAGGCGGGAGACGGGCGTTTTCCTCTGCTCGATCATGTGAGTTGTGGCCACGTAGTTCTGGTGGAAGTTGTGGAGGGAGCCTGGGTCGTCCCACATTGGGCTGTGCTGCACCTGGAAGCCTGGCGTGGTGGGCGTCGGGGGAGAGGAGGGCTTGTAGTAAACCGACCCGGAGTGCGGCATCATCTCCTCGGACTGGGGGGGCAGGTGGCTGTGTGGCTGGTAGTTGTGCATCTGAATGTCTTCTACCTTAATGGAGGACTGCTGTCCGGACAGGGGCATTTGGTACAAGCAAGGTGGCTTGACGTCGTAGCCTGTGCTGTAGTTGTCCATAAAGGTACTGAAGCTGGGGAGAGAAGTGGTGGCAGTGATTTCAGTGTTGGTGAGGTCCATGCTAAACTTGACAAACTCTGGAGTTAAGAAATCGGAGCTGTATTCTCCCGAAGAGTGGTAACTGTAGCTCTGAGAAGCGGGGCTGGCTCCTTGAGGCGAGGACCCATACTGCGCCTGAACACAAGGCATGGCTGGAAATGAAACAGGGTAATATACACTCAGCCTGGTCAACTGAACACTTCCTCCCGGGCTCGGGTACACCTGGAGCTACACCGGCAGCCCGCGGCGGTCAGAGAGCGTGTAGGGGCGCGAGAGGAAGGGAGGAGGGCGCGAGGGCTGCGGAGCAAAACAGTGCAGGGCATGGAGAGACTGCTCAAAGAAAGACCGATTGAGGGTCTCCGTTCCCGGATATTCCCGGGCAATCCCGCTCGAATGACCCTTTCCCCTTAAGCTCAGGTTCAGCAAGCTCATTATAGAAATGAAGTTCAATTGCACAATGACAAAGTTGTTCCCCAAAGCGATGGCTCGGGAAAACCTTAAGCTAAAAGGCTTTGCTGAGGAACATAGCATTGCCCTGTTTCTTGCTGTTTAGGAAACTTGGGGGAGGGAAAGAGAAATGAAGTTGCACTAACCTTCAGGCGGGTTACAGGCGTTTTCGAGGAAATTAAAGGTGGACAGGGTCGTAATTCAAGAAAGGACAAAATTCCCAAGATTTTTAGAAAAGCAATGGGGAGTCCAGCCTGTCTGATGTCCTCCCTGAAATACAGACACAGGAAGCTTCAGGGTGACTTTGCCCCCGACTGGCTGGGCATCTGTAGACTCACCAGACAGGCCCGTTGATGCCCTCCTTGATTGCTTTATTGGAAATTACTCTGCAGCCTCTACCAAACTTAGCAGTGAAAATGAATGTGTAGCTGAGATGGCTGAAAACAACAGAAAATGCCACCCACTGTACTGTGTAAATCCTTGCAGAGAGAGGTCTCTGAAGGAGGAAAGGTATTCCATGTACTTATTTAATACTTAAAATATAATAGATTGGCCCCTTTGCTAGGATGTGTGGGGGTAGGTAGGTGGGAGAGGATTCTTATTTCCATTTTAGTTTAATGCAGACCCAAATCAGAAGAAACTAGAGTTTAATAAAATACAGCATTGGGACCTTCTCTTAATTTTTTCTTTCTTTTCCTGTGGTGAAATTGGCTTTTCTTTTGGGAGGGGGTGAGAAAAGAAGTCAAAAATATAAAATGAAAATGAATCTCTTCCACCGCCCCCACACGTTACAAAATGTTAACAAGGCCTGGGCAGCCCTGAAGTCAATCTAAATGGAAGCATCTGGATTTCCTAAATGTTTTTGACACTGGGATTGGGGATACAGGTGAATTGCCACTCACTTTTCCAGCAAGCTTGTCTTTCAACATCTTGAATGGCCAAAGGGTGGGAAGAAGAGACTACTTTTTAAGGGGCATCTTAGGTCAATTGCAGAGGGAGGGGCACACTGCTTATCCAGTATTGACAACAGTGTTAGCAGCACTTCCCAACATGCTAAGCTGAACACCTTCCCTATACAGCCTTCCACAACCTGCCTACTTGCTGGAACAAGGCATTCTTGAGTCCTAGTAATTTTCAGATATCTCCACTTGGAAGACATTCTAGACATAGACAATCTTATTACTAGTGAAAAAGCCAAACATCTACTCCTCTTGTGCTTCTCCCTCCTCCATAATCTTACTTCATGAGAAAGGTTAACCAGAAAAAATAGAAAGAAGACTCTTGGTCTCTATGGCCTTTGAGAAATATGCCCTTGCTGGATAGTAACCTCCTGGTTAACTTCACAGCTCTGTAACTGTATTCTACATATTCTCTGTCTCTGTCTCTGTCTGACACACTCACATACACAAGCACGGCATGTGTTAAAACCAGAAATTTCAGACAACTTAGAAACAGGACACTCTACCAACATCCTCTCCCACCCTCCTACTCAACAATACCCAGGCAACACTGGCCAGCCGGCCAGCCGCGGTGACACAGTTCCCAAGCAACACATATACTGAATAACTTTCTCCCTGTCACTTTGTGGGCAGCGTCCAGGCCCCTCGTATAGGCAGGGCTTGGAGTCTCTGCGTCCAAAGGCCACAATCAATTTCTCACTAAGAGCAAACTTTGCGCACATTTCTGCGGATAAGTCCGAAGCCTCCCAAGTTATGCAAGTCTCCCTTCCACGTCCACCAATGAGGAGCCTGGAAGCCTTTGATGAGAGTCAGCTACCCCTAGTGCCAGAGCTGGAGTTCAGACAAATGCCCTCTGTAGCTGGGCGCACTTACTCTCCCCATCCTTTGGCCCACTGGCGCTCCGCGCCTCTGACGCCCACTCCTAGAGAACCTGTACCACGTAGGTGGAAAGAAGAGACATGCAAACGAATAAAGAAGGATAAAAGAACGCAAGCGCACGGACTGTACCTACTCACTTAAGAGTTCTCCGCGTCTTTCTTCATTCATTCAACTCGGCCGAAGTGTAGTTCCCTCTGGGAGTCCGGGTGGCAGGGTCGGGGAGGAGTGAACTGCGGAGCCGCTGGAGCCGAGCCGCCGAGAGCCGGGAGGGAGCAGGGGAAGGCGGCCGGCTGGGCGGACGAGCAGGACCGCGGAGCTGCGCGCGAGCCGCCGGGCGGACTGGCCCTGGCCGCCAATGTGCCTTTGTTTATGTGGCTCGCGCTGCCGCTGCCAACATGCACCTAAAGTCTCCGCGCGTCAGCGCGCGTCAGCGGCCCGCCGCCCAATCGCCGCGCGGCCGCGCTCCCCGGACTCCTGGCCCGCGCTCGCTTTGGTATATTTCCGACCTGACGTCACGAGCAGGGCCGATTTTAAGGTGGGAACCGTTCTGGGTTCACCTTGGTAGCCAGCTTGGTTTTGGGTTTTTTTTGTTTGTTTCTTGTTTTTTTTTTTTCCGAAAGAGGTGTGACCTCCTCACTCGGGTCTGCGCAGCCCGCAAGCGCCGCGACATCTCACCTCACCTTCCCCCAAACCCGCGCACCACCGCTGCCACCCGGCCCCTCAAGCGTGGGGGAGGGTGCAACAAAAGCCCCGGCGCAAGGGAGGGCTGGCGTGGGCCAGGTAGCCAGCACCTGGGCAGCACCTGGAATCGCAGAGGCTGGGGTGTGCCGGGCAGCGCCCTAACCTCACCCACCCACGCCTGTCACCCCCATTAGCCGAAGCGCATGCAGAAGCCCCACGACACGAGACGCTCGGAGAGCTCGGGCAGTTAGGGTGGGATTTCCCCAGCCCGTTACATCGTCCTTTTCTTCCTTTTCCTGTCCGCGGCCTCCTCTTCTGGCATTCCTACTCTCTCTCTTCCCTTTTCCCCTCCCCGCCCCCACCTCTCTCTCACTCACACACACACACACACACATGGGTAGGGAGTGGGTACGTCCTGTGTTCCCTTCTTTCCTTGCAGTGCCCACGTGCAAAGGACGACGTAGTGGGTGGATAGGGGAGGGGAGAGGAGGGGGTAGACTGCGACCCAGACCTTTAGGGACCCCCAAAATTCACAGTGAGGCGTCACCCACTTTCGCAGACAATGCAGCCGAGCAGCGCGCAACAGGTGCGCCTTCTGCAGAAAGGTGCTCTAATCTCACCTTTTGCCAACTGTAATATTACTTTCGACACATCTCGGTGCCCAACAATTCACAACCTTCCATAAGTTTTAGGGAAATACACCGACATCTCTCTGGAGCACAACTGCTCTCGCTGCCTCTATCTGGGAGCCAAGAGGGAAAGACAAAACTTAGGTCAGTGGGTATCTCCTTGAAGCGTAAAGTGTGTGCGTCCAGCCCTCTTAAGAACGGGGCCCGGGCCGACTGTGTGATCTGGCCGCACCCCCGCGGCAGCCGGAGTCGCTGCCGACCCCGCTTTGTAAGTCAATCCACCCGCCACCCTGAGGGTGCAAGGCGCTTTCTAGCAAAGGAAACGCCCCTACTCCTTGGAGCGAGTCCCCTTCCCGGCTCCTCGGTGCAGATACGCTGGGGTGGAAGGCTAGGCGGGGTTCTGGGGCTTTTCCCGTGGGGCTGCAAGAGGATGGAACGGGGAAAGGGTTTGGAAGCGACCCCCTTCTCTGCCTGCGACGAGGACCAGCCTTCCCCCGGAGTGGCTCGCTTCCTGATTGCGGGAGCCACGCCCTACCCCCACCGCCGCCCATCCTCGTGTTCCCAGTACGGGCCCAAAGCGCGGAACTCTCCGCGATCCCCACCGCTCAGCTCTAATCTTCACCCCCGCCTTTGCCGGCTCCCCGCCCCCGCCAGCACCCCAGCGGCTGGAGAGGCGTAACCGTCAGGTGCGTGGCGGCTGCCCCGGGAAGCCGCTGGCACCTCCGCGCCGCAGCCTGGGGAAAACCTACGTGACCACCTTAAGTTTCCCCCAGATGTTGCGACTGCTGCTGTTGCGCCGCCGCCGCCGCCGCGGCTCAGTGGTGCCCTAGCGGGCGCGAGAAAAAATAAAACCAGGAAGTGTGTGTGTGTGTGTGTGTGTCTGTGTGTGTGTGTGTGTGTGAGAGAGAGAGAGAGAGAGAGAGAGGGAGGGAGAGGGAGAGAGAGAGTGGGGGGAGGCGGGTGACGGTGTGTGAGTAGGGGGATGAGGGAGGGCAAAGAATAGCTTATTAGCATGAGTTCGGTAGCGTCAGCGCTCCGTGGGCAGGAGCGATTCCACGCGAACGAAAGGGAAAAAGTGAGAGTTTGGAGAGTAGGGGAGAAGGAAAGGGGTGGGGGTGGCGGTGACGCAGGGGCGCAGGCATTGACGCACCCGCGCGGCTGGGCCCAAAATAGCAGCAGCTCTGGCTCGGTGGCGCCCTCCCGGGTTCCCTTCCCCTTCCGCCAGGGAGCGGGGCGCGGCGAGGGGAGCGCGCCTTGATCCCGGCGGGGGGCCAGGCTCCCAGCTGCTATTTTCTGGCAGTAGGAAACGGGCGCAGATACGCTGGGGTGGCAGTAATTATTTTTTAATTATTCCTAGGAAAGCGGGGACCGGGAGAACTTTAAGGTTGTAACCATCACGCACCATACTACAAGCACAACTGAGTAGAAACATTCCTTCCACACTTTCCTCCTTCCTGGTTGCCATTTAAAAAAATCACTTGGGTTTAGCCTGCGGGCAACTTGATAATTCTCTCCCAGAGAGTGGTAAAGTGTTCTGAAGTTCTTAAAGTGAGCCCCAAAGACATCAAACGTAGTGTGAAGCGTTATTCTGTAACGACAACCTGTCGAGTCTGGCTTCTTGATAATAGAGCCTTTGCCCAAGTCTTAAAGCCCCTAAAATCGAGAGGCAGTTTTCACAGCGGCTAATTATAATAATTATGAGTAACTGGGAATGGGCTGATTAATATAACATTAAACTGAGATGAAGGTGGACTTTCCTCCTTCTATCTGTCTCTTCATATGAGTCTTCCCTCTCCTCTTCAAATTCTTATTCTAATTCCTGAGAAACTTTACTTCTTAGGAAGACACAGTGGATGCAAGACTGAAAAACTCACTTAAATCAATTACTGTGTAAGTTATTCCTTGGGTTGGTGTTTTTAGTAGAGCTCGGATGTACTTGGGGTGGAAAGGACCCAGCACAGTCACCAGAAGAAAGTGTAAAGTACCACACTCAAAACTCCAGACTTACGTGTGCTACCAGATTCTGACGGAACGAACTCTCAGTAGAACCTCCAATGTCTGTAATTGACTGATCCTGTCAGTAGGGGGCCTGACTCCACACGGTCCAGGAGGATAACGCACGCGCGCGCACCCCCGCACCCCCACACGCCTCTAGCTATTTACTATTTAGGCTTGAGGAGAGCATACTGCAGGCCCAAATATTCATGTTGTGCTGGAATTCATAAGTAACTACACATTGTTTAGTCTCTTTTTCTAGAAAAGGGAAACAGTTTAACACATGGAATTAGTTTCACAATAGATTTTATTTCTTCCTACCCATGTTTAACTCACTATTAGGTCACAGAGAGGCAAAAAAAAATCAAAATAGTAATATAATTTCTCGTTTTATCACCTAGTTCAAATTGGCATATAGTTTGAAAAAATGAAAGCATGTTTTAAAATCCTATGATTACATATTTAGATAAATTACAGTTTAGAAGAGGATTCCTGTGGGTGTATTTGCTGGTATGTAAGAGAATGCTTTATGCACAGAGGTTTAATTACACATATAATGGAATCAAAAGGTGTAACTGAACCTTTCAGAAAATGTTAAAATGATGCTTTAGGCTAAAAGAAACTGAAATTCCGCATTTATATGACAGCAACACTTCAAGATTCTTGAACATAAATAGATTCTTGAATATATACTATTTTATAACTCAATTAAAATGACAATAATGGCTTTTTTCAGGGTCCAGAATCTGATATGACTTTATATTATTGTCATGTATAAATGTGTAAAGTTACCCCGAAATGAAGATCTATTTTCTTAACAATCTAATATAAATGGGAGTAAAAAATTGGTCCTGTCCATTTCTTCTTTTGAAATCAACAAATCACAAGATTATTATTACTACAAATATATACTATTGACCTCAGAAAAGCATTTAGGAAAGTCATATTACTACATATATACTATTTTTTATGATGATATTAATCAGAACATATTAGCACATGTATAGAAAAATATTTTTTTTAGTGTCAATAATACATACACTCACATCTAAACCAAAGTATTTTATTTTATGCATGGCTAGGCAGATTATACTTAATAAAATTGAGCTTTTGGTATAATTTACAAAGCAAACATGGATGTAATCCCACAGGATTTTCTATCTTAATGCATGGAAAAGAGGCCTTTAGGGATTTATTTCACTATTCCCCCAGAATGAACATAGAGTAGACCTTACAACTCAGATACAGTGAATAGACACAACTGTTATGCTGTAAGAGTCAACAAAGTAACCTTAAGATATTTCAAGGTAAAATTACTTAATGGAACATATTTTAAGCATAAAAATGAGATACATATCTTAAGCTATAACTATTCAGCAGGAAGTTTTATTTTACATTAGTAATAGAAGAAATTTTCACTTTGAAAAAAAAATCAGTGGAAATACAAAATCATATTTTAATATTGAGGGCTTTGGGTTTTCTGCTTTGGCCATTTCATTTGCATTAATAAGACATTAATCAACCAATCATTTGTTCCTTTCCTATGGTATGCTTTTGAGAACAAGTTAATTGCTTAGCTGATATTTATATTTTGGGTAGTTGGGGCTTTTAATCAGTTTTACCCAGCCCACTTCTCACCAAAAACCACTTAACATGAAAGTATTTCTTACTTTGATTCAGAACTCAGTTCTAGAAATGTGTAAAGATGTACAGAAAAAACCAGCATCCTTTTTACTAGAAGCATCTACTTGTAAATTAAAATTATAAAACTGAACATATGGTAAAGCCTCATGCCACTCAAAAAGTATTTTGCGTAATAAAAATCCATCTTTTCTCTAATGTCTGACTTTCAGTAACCATTTCCTCAATATTTGCTTTTAAATTAACCACATAATATTTTCTTTCTTCATTATGGTAAAATACACTTAACAAAAAATTTACCATCTCAGCCATTTTTAAGCATACAGTTAAATGGTGTTAAATACATTCACATTGTTGTGTACCCACCATCAAGAACCATCCCCATGTCTTCATCTTAAAAAACTGAAACTCTATACCCATTAAACATCTCACCTCCTCCCAACCTCTAGTAACCACCAATATTTTCTTATGTAAGAGTTCTTTTTAAAGTAAGGAAGAGTAATTTTGGTTTTAGATTTCATTGCTAATTTCAGTAAACATGGGAGACATTGAAATGTACAAAGTCATAGAAGACATTTGAAAGATTCTAAAAATAGGTTGCTATATGGTAAGAAAATACCAAGGACACTTATAGATGCTTGAAATTCTAAAAGTAGCTAATAACATTAGTAACCATCACAGTATTATATAGCATTTTGTTTAAGTAGATAGAAGACATACCCTTTGCAACAGTTTTTATATGTATATCATAGCTGGCTAGTTTTTGTTCTACCTTTAATGATAAAATAACCACTAACTAGTGGATACAAACCTCTCAATTTAATAAAAAATGAAGATCCTGAATTGATATAACACAAAGACATATGCCCTTTCCCTGATCATAATTCTGCAATTATGAAGCCTACAATTTTAACACTACAAAAGTAACTTATAGCAAGGACCCTTATAGTGATAAGTAATAAATCTAATTACCATATCCTTTGAATAGATGTAATATAAATTTCATTGCTCACTTGAAAGTTCTAAAGTTAACAGCATAAACTTGAAGTTGAGTAATTAAGTAATCCTTATATAGACACTTATTAAAGTATTTATACATATTATCTTAAATCTACATCTATCATTTTGCCAATTAAAATTAGGACTTTAATTGCAATTAAGTAATTTAATTGCCAATTGAACAGCAAAATTGCTAAGTGACTAATTTTAATGCCTATTTTAATTACCAATCATGACTGGGGAGGGAGCTAATCAAGTTACATCAAGCAGTACCAGAGTAATGATGTGAAGAGAAAAAAAAAGTAGAACAAACATTCAAGGCTACATGCTTTAAAAAAAGAAACAAATTAAATAAATGCAACACAATCTTATAAATGTATAAAATA